GTCCCAAGTATTTCTCTAAACAACAGGGAAAGCAATGGAGGGAAGAGAGCAACTTGTGCCCACTGCGCCCAAGATCCCCCCCAACGCCCCAACTGAAGCGCAGATTCCTCCCACACACACGCCCGGCAGTGAGGAAGCGAATTCAGGCAGGCACACAACACGACGGCAACTGGGCCCTTGTGGTGGACTCAAGGGGGCGGCAGCTTTCGAGGCCGCGCAACCGCCAGACTCCCTCCGTGAGGCGAGCAGCGGTGGCAGTGGTAGCATTAGTGACGGGTTGGGGAGGGCAAGAAAGTGCGCACACACACACGCGCACACACTGGCCCCCCACCGCGGCATCGCTGGTAAGAAATATCAAGAAACATCACAAGATCCAAAAAAAAAACCGCAATTAGGCAGCGGCACACTTACGCACACAGAAGCATGACAAAAGCAACAAAAATAATTATTTCAAAAGGAAAAAGGGAGTTGGTGGTGGAGGGAAAGACAAACACGAGTTATTGGGGAAGGAAATTGGGCAGAGATCGGTCTGCACAGGCATCCACAACTACGCAGGGAAAGCAAAGGTCGAGGCCGTGGAAAGAGCCTCAGGAAAAGAATATGTGCAGCAGGACATCCAACTCGCACAGTCGAAGCATCAGCAGATCAACTTTTGTTAGGGAGGAAGTCGTCATCTGGTCGCTTGACCCTGAGGGAGCTGACTGCGTTTCCGCCTGGGTTTGTGTGGCAATACTACGAACGGCTACTTGGGGGCGAAGAAAGGAGGGGGTCTCCTGCATCAGCGACTCCGCATCGTATCGGTAGCCGATGCTTTGCGTTTCACCCTTTTCTGACGTCGGCAATCCAAATACGGGAGAGGAACGGGGCAGCACTGAGCGCGATTCACTCTGCTTCCGGATGAATACAGCTTCATCGTTTCCACCAGAGTCTTCTGTGGGGGCGAGGGCCCTATTGCTGCACTGCTGCTGCCGACGCAGGCGCAAAAACTCCAAAAGTCGGCCACTGTGCTCCACCACATCGATGTGACCATTGTTGTCTGCAGAAACCTCCTCAGATGAGACGGTCTTGAGACGCGGCGTCCGTTCTCGTTTTTTGCCTGAGCAACGCTGCGGCATCACGACTGCCGCGTTACACGTGTCGTACGCTGCGCCGGTGTCCGTGCCGTCTTCCTCCACGTCTCGCGCCCAACTATCAAGCAAACTCTGTTTCATCGCGTCAACTTATTTTCTGTGTCTTGTCTATGTATTTATTTTATAGCCGTGTGGAATGAGCAACAAAGCAACGACTCGTCGAGATCTTCGTTTTCTCCTAATAAAGGCTAAAAAGAGTGTTAAAGAAACACACGTGATAATACATGTGTGCTATTTAGCTTATTTCCCATGCCGCCGTGCATGACGCAATGCGTTCACGGCAGCGATGCATAGAGCAGGAGCCCAAGGCAACCCCTCCGCACTGCCCCCTCATCCTTCAATTCCTGACGATAATGAGGCGCTGCAGGTGCCTTGTAAGATTGCCTCTCACGGGACCTCCATCAGTAACAAATTAAGAAGAAAGGGCACTACATTGCGGGGTATTCGTAACACGCATCCCCCGCACGGCGCGGCCATTCCTCTCGCACGCTCTCACAACGTCAACAGCCTCAAGCAGAAGAAGAAAGAAAAGAAGTGGGTTGGTGAGGATAGCCTTTGGGGTGGCAGAAGTGGCAAACTAGGTGGATTCCATGACCCCCAGCCCACAGAGGTGCTACTTTCTACACGCCAAGGCGATCCCCGCGAGTAGTATTAGGACGCCGCACATCACAGCGAACACCACCAAAGATCGCTCTGTGGATTCGTCCGAAAACCCCTCCAGCTCCAGATACGCGTTGCCGCTGTAGCAATAAGATGTGTTTCCTGCGCCGTCGCAGCTAAACGGCATGTCCCGCAGTCTCTGCGCCAGCGCAGCACCGTAGCTCCAACGAAGTATACTCGTCTTCCCAACCACCGATGGCATCGTCGTCAGGTTCAGCAAGAATCCACAAAAAATGACACTGTACCCTAGATATAACCGAAGCAGCAACAATGCCCAGCGATTACGCGGCACCAATGCATGCACTGTGAAGTGCAGCAACACCTGTGTGACGCTTAAGGCACCGAGAAGCAGAAAAAACGTGTAGCTCATCCTCAACATATATCTCACAACTGGGATAAAAAGTGCCAAGTACAGCACCCGAACAAACACGGTACGGAGAACAAACACTATCATAAAGCAGGCTGTGCCATAGAGTCCGTTTTCGCGTTGAATAAAAAAAAGACGCAGTTGGTGATTCACATCACCCATAGTTGTTGTATTAGCCAGCATTGTAAGGAGGAAGAGAACAAATTGAATGCCCCTAATATTATACATGCCCCATTGGTCATCGTTCTGGTTCTGCAACAGCAACAAGATCAACAACAGTCCTAGCGACAAGAAGGCAAGCTGAACGTAAAATTCCGAATCCCGCCAGGTTTGCATAGCATCATACCACCAAAGAAGAAATATTTTTAGCACTGCGTACTGAGGAGGTGCTGTACTCGTGAATGGTGTCACATCAGACATCTGTTCAGGTGGGTTAGAATAACGCGTAATAGTCTGCAACAAGCGACGACGCAGATGTGAGTTGTAGTAGTTAGAAGTGTAAAACGCAGACACAGATTGGGACTCCGCCCAAACTGTGGCAAGGTCCAAAGCGTCATCCCCGCATGAAACAGAGGCACTGCTCGCCGCAGCCCTCAATTCCTCCATCCTCGATGCTAGCGAGGAAGAAATGTGAGGCGTGCCGTGCTCATTGTAGCTGCTCCCTCGTGTCGACGAGGGAGAAACAGTCACTCGGCTTGGGGTTGAGGCGTTGCTGTAACACGGGCTAGCATCTCGTGGCACACCAACCCCACCGTACAGGGTAGAGGACGGAGTCAAGGAAAGACGAAGGCCATTGAAGTACGACGGCATAGTAGCAGCCTCACCGGAGTATAGAACGCCTCCCCCACGCCCAAGCAACAACAATGTATCCGTGACCTCAAACAAGTGAGCCGCAAGCGTCGTCGTTGAAATAATAACCGTTTTTTCCAGCACCGTTGTTAGCCGTTTCAAGACGGCACTACACTCTGAGGCATCTACAGGCCCCAGGTGATCAAAGGGGTAGTAGGCAACAAGAACAGGAGGATCTCTGACTATTTCCATCGCAAGACGAAGACGAAACGCCTCCGAAGGCGAAAGTAACTTTGCAGCCTTGCGGCGATCCAAATCCGTAAGAACGCAGGCGGCCTCTACCAGCACCTCCCTTGCCGCTCCAGTCACCTTTGTCCGCAGTGAAACTACGAAGTTTATGTTCTCCTCCACACTCAGGTTCGGCATGTAGGCCTCGACTGTGGTAACGACGCCAACCGCCTTGCGAAATACTCCCGCCTCGACAGGCACACCATTTGCGAGAACAGTCCCGGCCGCGCACAAGGCAGCGCCCGTAATGACACGCAACAAGCACGACCCTGCCACCCCATCCACGTCAGCGATAACGTGCAATCCGCCCTCTCGCATCAGAGCAAGAGCAGACTCGCAGTGTAGCTTTGGGGGAAAAAACCTGGGGAAGCAACGGCTCAGCCGGGAGTCTGTCGAGACTCGCACCTCAACTATGCAAATGTTCAGCCCACCTACACGAAAAACGGAACGTATGTAGTGTTGCGCCGCATCACACCATGGTCTTACTTCACCCCCGTGTTTGAAGGAAACAGCGTGCGTCGCCTCTCGCCAGTGGCTTCTGGCCTCGCTTGATACCAGCGGCGTGGACTCGCCCAAGCCGAAGCCAGAAATGCCCAACATCGCCTATGCATATATTTACTTTCAAAAAAAAAAAAAACTACCGGAAGTGCTGCAAATGATGGAAACTGACAGGAAGTTGCAGATCTACAATAACGACAAGCAAAATATAAACACTACCAAAACGAAACCAAAAAACAACAACGACGACAATATTGAAAAATGGGAGCAAAACAAGTTTCTACGGGAGTGCGCGAGACGCGCCACCAACCTGCTGTTATAATTCTACGTCGTTGTTGTTGTTTCCTTTTATTCGTCTTTATTTTTTTCGTTTCTTTGCATTGCTTGTTTGATTCGTTATATCTTAACATGAACATCTTGCACCGCATCTTCTTTCTCAAATTGACACGGAAGTGCGCGCCAATAAAAATGGGAAAAAAGCTGGGGGAAAACAAGGCGACAAAAAAAAACTCCATTCAAACCTAACACATATTCCGCACCTCTTGTTATGATGCAGTAACGAGTTGGGGAAAAAAAAGGGGGGGAAGAAAGTGAAAACGAAAGAGCTACAATTAGCCGCAAGTCCTCCCCTCATGATTGAGCCAAAGGCGGTTGTCTCTACCCAACAGAGCGCCCCAACAAAGAAGGAATACATGAACGCTTGCTGGAGTTATCTTGCATTCTCAATATACTGCAAATAATATATTTTTTGTCCCTGTTAAATACGGCTCAAGGCTCTTCTTTAGTTTTTCCCTCCCTTTTCGAGTTTTTTTTTTATTTTCTGCCTGTTTCATTTTTTTTGTTTTTCTGTATCTCTCCATTTTCTTTTTTTTTACTTACCCTTCCCCAGACGACAAATAAAGGTTTCACAACGGTTACTTTTCGTTTACTTCATCAGAGGAAGACGACGGCGTGGGTATCTTCTTAGGTGCGTCGTGGGTGCTAGACTTTGATGCCCCTCTACAGCGAGCTCCGATAGAAACCAGTGTGGCCTCTGTAATGGGTTTGGTCCCTTGACCCTGATCAAACGCGTCAAAAACAGTAGACACTATATGAGACGAATTGTGTGTTTCAGTTCCTATAAAGTCTATAACGTCAGACACGGTAACACTTTCATTCGCAGTTTTACCTTTGCGAATGCGCTCAAACATCATCTTCACATTTGCCTCTGTCAAATATTCACCAATAGACACCTGAGTGTCGTGAAAGGATATATCCCGATCACTGCTTTTCGTCTTAGCATTTAGATCCTCCAGCTTTTCCACAATTCGATCAGCATCGCTAAGGTCATCCCCCAAATTAGGAACGGTATCAACAGTCTCACAGAGTGTCTCCAGGTTTCCACGCACAGCCTCAGGGAGGTACTGAATACCGAAAAGCTGCTGGCGCTGCTCCAGCGGTAACCGCTTCATCGATTCTTTCAAACTGTAACGGGTGGGTTTAACCCAAAATAATGTGTTGTACGGCACCTCGCTGTCCCGAGAAAGTGAAACCCACCATTCCAGCTGAATACGGAGAGTTTCGGCATCTTCTGTCCAACGCATTCCCCGGACAAGGTTGGCCTTGATTAACTCCTCATCAGTTAAATCATCAAGCCCTTCAAGTCGAAGAAAGCGATCATCTTCACGAGTATTGTGATAATGACGTATGATCTTTCGACGCATGTAAGGTGCCATTATTTTAGCTGGAAAAAATCCGTGGTACGTTTTAAAAACACCAACCGTTCGCGCTAATCCCAACGCAACACTGTCAGGACATTTGTATACACTTAACGGTCCGTCACGATCAAAGTGAGGGGCTATCAGTTTTATCTGAGAAGCACTCACAGACTCCCCCAGTGCACAAGAACGCACTACCTCTTGTTGTTCCTTGGTGAAACTAACAAACGCAGTGGTAGATAAATACTCCATCACTCGCTGTCGTGCACGAAGTGTTCCCAGGGCAGCAGAAAAGGCTCGGTTACGACCCTGACTTTTTGTTTCAAACGTTGAAGGGATCAAATCTGGGAACATTTTCAGTGCGACAGGAAGTAAAAGCTCAGCAAACGGGACCACGATAAAGAAGCTAAAAGGGACAAGCCGGACAAGATCCCTTGTGGCACTTTCCAAGAGCAAACGCTCCCGACGGGTAAGGGCGACACCTGCCTTCAGCTGACGAGAATACTTCCAAGCCAGCCTTGTGTTCAAGAAAAATAGTCGAAAACCGTGATATACATGACGAAGCCCTTCCCAAGCAACATTAGCATAGTAACCTACGCCTGAGCGTGCAGCTGGTTTTGAATAGGCTACATCAGAAAACCTAATCCTGGAAGCCCTAAGCATCTTCTATATTCCTCAAATTGTACCAATCCTCCGTCCACAGCAATATCGACAGCACCTGGCTGCTTCCTAGAGCAATGCGCCTTTATATAAATATAAATATCTAATTCTCGCTAGTATCCGTGAATAGTATAATCCCTATCTCTCTAATGCCCCGATACTGAGAAAAATATTTCGATTTCGTGAAAAGAAATCGCCTTTTGTTATTATTAGTATTGTTATTAAACAATTTGAAGAAGAATGAAAAAAAAAAACTAAAAATATGTACCGTGCAACGCAGAAATACAATCAGATGCTTCGCATCCCACTTTCTTTTTAGTGATATAGAAAATTTGTTATCACTATACTTGAGCTATTCTCGCGAAAGTTGTTTCCTCACGCGCACTCAGAGGCACACGCACACACAGAAACAAAAAAAACATCAGCACACCATGAACGAGGAAACACATGCAAATACATATCATAATCCAAAAGGGAAAAAAGCACGGCAGCCCTTGTTCATTTTTTTTTCTTCGTTCATATATATGTCAAAGTTATTGCACTTTTTTTGATTCTTCTTTCTCCTCCTTTTTCTGAGATGAATGATCCTTATCTTTTATAGTAACTTCCCGCCCAAACAATGTGAGTATCTCCCCCCACATGGCGCCAATAAGCGTTGCATCATCTTTATTTTCCTCCATTTGATTTTTAGAAGAACCATCATCTTCTGCTTCTTCTTTGGAATCCACACTTGGCAGGGTAACGGCATCGGAAGTGTAGACAAAGACTGCCTTTAAATCGCCTTTTAATGCAGCCGAAGCCAAAAAGGTGATGAGCAGCCAAGGCACAATAAAAAGCAAGGCGGGCTGTCCATGTTCAAAAATAAGCATAACAGCCATTGTATTTACAAGGCTCATTGTATAGGCAACAAGAGCAACATTAAAATAAAATGTGCCTCGTTTCACGTACTCGAGAGAGAAAATGAGTGTTTGTGCAATAAAGAATCCTGGAACAATAAGATCACCCAGCCCCAAAAGACTCACTGCCTTATGATCGGCAAAGATGGTGCGGGGGAAAACGAGTTTAATAGGACCATTAATTCCACCTGCCACGGTAAGCATTACATCCGAACCAAAAACCCAAAAAATGTCGTAAAAAAACAAGCCCAACAACATCACAAACGCACTTTGAAATGATCCTAGATGAACAGACCCAATAGCCCGGACACCAATGGCGATAGCCAATAGATTGTTCGCCACCCAACTATTAGTCATATAGTATACCGCTCCCACTGCACAACAAAAAATGCCAGTGAGAAAATTTGGTTTTATATAGGCCTTTAAGAAGGATCCCAAGGAAAGGACACCGATAACGCTTAAATAAAAAGATACCACTGCATTGAAATATTCTAAAGGAATGAACCGCAAAAGCACATAGGCAAGGAAAAGTACCATTGATCCCATGAGAGGTAAAGCCAAAGTATCATCCGTAAGTAGAACCTCCTCAAAGCTAAGGTTTTTCTCCCTTTTTTCACGTGTATACTCTAGAAGTCGTCGAGATCCGAGGTAAACAACCAAAACTG